AGAATCAAAACCCATGCAACTTTGAAAATAAAGTAGTAACAAAAACAATAATTATCCTAATAAAAATACTAACACAATGTAAAGTCTTCACTGGCACCCAGCATCAGTCTATCCCGTGTAGCCATAAACCGTGGGTTTGGTGCTTCCTTAAATGTATATTAGGGTGTTTATTTTCAAGAGATACTTTAAATTAAAATTAAAAACCTAATCTAAAATAATATTTGTAAGCATAGGGGAAATGAACACACCATAGCAGAACAGATACAAAAATGTGAGAGAAGGTCCATCAATAAGGGATGGTAAATTACTGTACCACTACACAGCACAGTACCTTATAGCCATTAAAATCATGTAGTTTATATTTGTAGGCATGAAAATATATCCAAATATATTAAAATGAACAGATTACCAAATAGCACTTAAAATAAGTATTTATAGAAACATTAAGAATAGTTTGGATAAAACACTTAAATCTTTAAAAACTAATTTGGTCTTAACCAATTGAGCCACTCGGCCGGCCCCACAGATATTTTTAATAGTAAGTACAGTCAGGCGTTGAGCTAGGCATTATGGATATAGAGGAAAATGGGGTACATACAGTCCTTACCCTTTTAGGGCTCATGATCTAGGATGGAAAACAGCTCTTGAATGACTAATACTACTAAAGTAAATGACTATTACAATACAAGGAATTATGTAAACATGACATCATGTGACACTTCATCCAGCATACATGTTGAGAAAGGCCTCCCTGAAACAATGATGTTAAGCTCAGAATTTGAAGGAGAAGCAGCTTCAGCTTCGTTTTCAATTTGAGATAGTATCCATGAGAACTGAAAAAGGTAATGTCTGCTTAAACTCTTAGAATGCAGTAAAGGGCAATAAAATGTTTTCTGACTTAAAGAGGAATAACTGACCATTAATTTGTGATCTCATCAAACTTGTTGGAACAATCCACCTTCACAGACAGGCAAACTTTTCAGTAATGTGGGGAAACCACTTTTATTATGTTTAAATTCT